AAAAAAAAAAAAAAAAAAAGAATTAAATGAAGGTTTTGCTGCGGGGGCGATAGCGTTACGGAGAGGTCAGTGCCCGGCTGCCTCTAAATTGGGGGTGTGGGGCTGTTTAATCACATCCTAAAGGTACGAATGGGCTCGTTGAAAAGCCCTCTGAACTCCTACTTCATCACTCAGGCAGTTCCAAACACATTATATTGTAAAGCAGAAATATGTGAGCTTTGCAGATTCAATTCCCAACACTTATTTCTTCTATTACAGTATTCTCTGGCCAGATCTTACACAGTGTGCATAAAACATACAGACACAGCCCTAGCATTTGATAAATCAATCTCACACTCACGTTTTTGACAGATGGACATTTGGGAAGTTGGGATGGGGTGTTAAATTAAAAATATTTCATTTTTACTGTGATGCTGTGTCACTCCAGCACTGCTGATGCGGGCTTGGGTCTCTGCACCGACTCCCAGTGCAGCAGATGCTAACTGGTACTTCAGCTGGAAGTAAACCCAGATGCATTAAGAGGTTTTTTTGCTACTGTTGGTGTAGGTTTGGGGTCTTTTTTGTTAAATAAAAGGCAGGGACTTGCTGCTCCTTGCAGTAAAAGAGCAAGTAAGGAGAGAAGAGGACTCTGAGCCAGGAAAGGCGAGGAAGGAAACGAGAGGGAATTGCTGGATGCGGCGGAAAGGACAGACAAAACCTCTGGCTGCGGTCAGCGGCAGACGGGAAGCGCGGCGGAAAGGCAGGTCAGCTGAGCACAGGGGGGGAATGAAAATGGAGTTTTAGTCTCAGACACATGTTAGCTTGTTCAGTAAAATATATATAAAGGGGCACCACGTGGTTTGAGGAGGTGGTGGTCAGAAAACCAGTGTTTCCCCTCAAAATTATATACAGAGACCCCCAGGAGAGGTGACCCATCACAGCCACAACAAATATTCCTGGATTTTAGCTCAAAAAATACAACCGTAATCACCAGGGGACGGATCCCAACGCCTCCATCTGCATCCTGCTTTATTTCTGATTTCACAATTGCGTACAGGCCTTTGTATAATATACAGGCATTAGCTGGTTTTAATTTCCACTAACTTCTCTGCAGACAGGCTTTTGTCTGGGAGCTGTAAATGAAAGCATCACACATATATCACCACTTGTGATGTTGTGTCGTCACTTAGAGAAGTAATTACAAACAGCCATCTTCTTCGAGGTGAAAAGGCCAGAAATATGTTGCTAGAGTTCCTGCTACACAGAAATTGGTGAACACCTGTGTCTCGTAATTATGCCACCCGTATTTACTAGATATTCACTGTATTTACTCCATTCTGCTCCACGTTGTGTCCTCATCCTGGATCCCCAAGAGATGACAGAAGTTGCAACACCTGCACTGAAGCACTTGCTGAGACGCAGTGCACGGCATGGGGAGGGAGGAGGATGCTCTGGGCTCAGAGTCTCGCCTTTTGAATCTCTTTTTTTTATCATATTAACTTGCAAAATGTTCCGCGCTGACAGACACACGCTGCACATGAACTATGCGCTTTGAGCTTTCCATCTCCTTAGAAAAAAACCTGTTTGGGGGTGGTGCATGATAATCTCCATATCCCAAATGATACGCCAGCACTCCTGAGTACTCTGTTCTCCTCTACCATCAAATCACCCTGCAGCTCATTTTGTAAAATTAAATCAATACCGTTTAATTGTCAAAAATACTTTAAACCACTGGTATTTTGAAAAGTTACCCAGTGTGGTCAGAATTAAGAGCTTTCCATGCGCCATCACCTGAGACAATTCAGGTCTCAGTGCTGCAAAGCTGTTGGCACAGGAGGAATCCAAAATGAGTGGCTGTGCCAAGCGAGGACCAAACCTGTAACACAGGGCCAGAAAACCCTCCACACCAAAATAATTAAAGCAAATCCAGCCTGTGTTGAGACCATCAAACACATTTTATACTAAACTCTATTACTAGCTGAAAATCTTGTTCCTTACATATATTTGTGTCCATTTATGAAAAAATAAATCTGTCGTGCTGTCTGGGGGTGAGGTGGCATGGGGGCACGCTCGCTGCCTGCCCCCCGGGCCAGTTTTCCACCCCAAACCCTCGGCAGGGAAACCTGGGATACAAAGACTTTACCTGCCTGTATTTTCTTAAACCACAACTCAAACCAGAAACAGCCCAGGAAGCCCTTGGAGATGCTCCAAGCAGGTCCTGCATTAACAGGGCTTCAGCTTGCCGGCTGCTGGGCACACCAATAGTTTGAGCTGCCTTGGAAATGTTTGCACAGATAGGAGCTGGGGTCACCAGTGCCATTCAGCACATCCAAACTGGTGAGGCACCCATTAGCATCTCCAGGCAAGACAGCGTTGAAAAGGGTTATGAATTTAGCAGTGTACCAGTCAGATAGCAAATCGATAGCAGAGTCATTAAATAATGGCTCTAAAAAGGTGATGAGTTAATTATATAGCAAATAGACAGTGACAACCCCACCAACAGCTGAGGCTACGACTAGTAAATCCCATCCCGTAGGGGCTGACAAGGTGCACCCAGACCCATGGCTCCAGGCAGATAGAGGGTAGGTTGGCACTGGGGATGGTAAAAATCACCCAAGACCTTTACCCGTAGCAACCCAACTGCCAGCGGGAGTAATCCATTTGTCCTGATTTATTATTCTGGAAGCAATGAAAGAAGAAAAAGCAATTTAACTAATTCAGTCCTCGGAGAATTAGCCAGCAATGTAATCTCACCAGTATCAGTTATCTCTGGTGTCTCTTCCCGGAGACCCCAGTTGCCCACAGCCCTGGGCTCCACCAGGAGTCACTTCAGGTTGGTTTTTTTTTTTGCATTTTTTTGGTTTGGTTGATTTCTGTGGAACTGGGGGCCCAAGGCTGTCGCCCACCCCCCAGCCCAGCTCTGCAGCCCCTGCTCCTCTGCAGCCCCAGTCCACATCTGTTCCTGAGCTCAGCATCCGACACGCTGCCCCCCTTCCCTGTGCTTCGGGGGAAGCTGCTTCAGAGCAGTGGCCTCGGTACACGGCATGGCAGGGATTTCTTCTCCCAACAGCAAAACCGTGATACATTTTCCATGTTTTTTTCCTGACTTTCAGAATTTAAATGTCAGCTCCCCCAGATGCAACCAAACTAATAAAACCAGCCTGCGCAGAAAGCCGGGGCTGGCTCAGTGGTGGGGAGGACGCGGCAAATCTGCTATTTCAGCTTGACGAGACCCACACATCTCATTTCCCAACACGGAATATTTGCCCTTTTACATCCAGACCCACCAGTATGTGGGCTGCTGAAAAGGGACCCACCAAAGCCCAGCTG